AGAGACGCGATACGTGTCGGGCTTTCAGAGAGAGACGGGAAGAAAAAAAATCCCAGAGGGAGGATATCATGAATGTAGGGGCCCTTGAGGACCTTTTTCGGCCTTCTCTTTCTCTTTTTCCTTGGTCTTTCTCTCTCTCCGATCTACATGTCCGCACTGTAATCATTTTCGAATTCATCACGAAGCCGAGGTTTTCCACGCCTTTCTCCCTCCGGACGCCACGAGCCATTCCATTCCCTGCAATCTAACCTTCTTCCCTTTCCGTACCTATTCTTTATGCCTAAAAATGAAGACCTCCCCCCTTCCATCCTTCCTCCCTTCCTCCCTCCCTTCTTTCCTCCCTTCTTTCCTTCCCCTGTGGTCTTCAAATCTTGAGCCATATTTCCCAGGAATGGCTGTTTGCCTTCCTGCCCGTCTCCCGTCTGGCCGTCTGTAGGAGACAGCATCGTCCACGTTCATGCAACTAAAAATGCTGATAAAAATGTCATGGGAATCTCTTTTGCATTCTGCAAAAATATGCCCTTATAGTTAAAATGTCGTAATCTGGTATTGAGAACGTATCAATTCGGAAAAGTTTATTATTTTATTATACTATTATTTATTGATTACTATTAATTACTATTATTTATTGACCGTCGTCTCCTCGTCTCCCCACCCTCGCATCGATTCACACCGACGCTAAACCCTGAGACCCGATCCAACATTTTCATCGCTCTCATCCGCCCTTTCCTCATCTTTCATGCGTTCCCTCTATGGTATTTCCCGAACGAATCGAGACCGTCGAAAGACGAGCCGGGTATTCATCAGGGGTCTTTGTGTCACCCTTGGGGAAATTCGTCGGATCTGCTGCGCCTCGAGCGAACGTCAAGGTTTTGGACCAGGGTTCCGTTGGTTTATTTTTTTTTCTTATTTTCGAGTTGGAGTTCACGATAGCAAACAACCTTGAGGGAATCCAAGAAACATATCCCCGGCGGCCATCGAAGGACTTCCTGGAACATCTGATAAACGCCATGCACGTAATGGAAGATTGACAGCGTGCGAAGTCGCGACATCGTGCCGTTCCGTGTTGGAGACTGGAAAGCACGAGGGAGTGTGCCAAAATCACAGATGTGAAAAAGGAGCGAGTCGATCGACCGAAATCGGAGCTGGAAAGGACTCGAAGGCGTAATGCAATATGAGAGAAGGAAAGGCGGGGGGGAAAAAAAAGGGGGGAAAAAAGGAGGGGAGCAGCTGATTTCTCTTTATAGAGACGTGAAAGTGATTGACAACCGGATCGAATCATGGATCTCCAGATATTCCACATTTTCCCCACTGGAGATGGTAATTGAGTGGAAAAAAATCCATGGGAATGACTTATGAGCGAACGAAGGGAAAGGGGGGGGAGGGGGGGGGGGGGTCCTTTTCCCTTCGTTCGAGACCCTCTGTTGGCCCATGTGTTCCTCTTTTGATGTATGGGCAAAGGCCCATGGCCCATATGAGGGCCTTCCGGATACCCCAAATGAAAAATCACTGGATATATGGTCACGAATGGAATTTCCTTCTGGCCGATTTGAGGCTCAGAAAAGTTTTCGTGAATTCCCCTGTCGCATGATCCCACGTGATGAGACACCCCAGACACACCAGGACCGTGACACCTCAGACACACCAGGGCCGAGACACCCCAGAAACTCGGAATCAACGTGTCCGCGTTTATACGACGACGAACGAGACGACCTTCTCGAACGCATTCCGTGCTCAAATTTCTATTTTTCGCTTAATGAAATTGATGGAAATGAATTGGGGAAAAAAAAAAATTCCCGGCCCGGAAGCCAGGAATAAAAAAAAAACCGCAAACGGTAACGCTTGCCGGTGCATTATTTTTTCGTCTAGCCTTTACTTGTAATGTGAACCGCATGATTCTCGTCGTGAATAGTTGAATTTCTGCGGACCGCCAAAATCTGCACGTTTTTCAGGATTTCGTATTGCATTTACGTTCCTAGTTCGGTCTGTTAGTCCTTTTCCCCCAGCCATAGTAGAACGATGACCAAAGATTTCAGTCGGTGAGAGATTACAGACGAACTTTTCCAGTGCAGATGACCTACGGAAGGAACTGTAGGAACCGTTCCACGCCGATCGAGCGATCTGTGCCACCTCGTAGGAAAAGTATACCAGAATGTCTCTTTTAGGGGCGGAACTCATTTTTTCCCTCGCAGACTTTTGAGGTGCGTCGGTGCATCCATTTCCCTCGGTTTCATCGCGAATCGAGTCGGCTTGCAAACGAGGCCTTTTTCTGCCATTTCGAAGCCGTTCAGTCGAGGAATTCAGCGTCAGAAGGAATCCGGTCTATACTGCGGATCCTTTTCTTTTATTTTCTTCCCTTTTTTTTTTATCCATTCTCTCCATCCTTATCATCTCTTCCTTCTCTTCTTCCTGGGTTTTTTTAATGCACATTTTCGTGTCGCGAGGTCCTAGAACCTTTGATGTCATCGCACGTGGCGTGTATCGTCACGATGAGACCGGTAGAAAAAGAGCGTTCCCGAGTGCAACGACCGACCCTGACGGCAGGAGACACCGTTTTAAAACAAACTTGTCGCTCCACGAGCTTCCCGTACGGACAGCGTAATTTGATGGTCGTCGCTTGCCGCACCTGTTCGCAGGCCATCGCTTCTACGAGTCTACCCGAGTGACCCATTCGCGTGACTGAATCCTCTCCCGGTGGGGGAAAGCGGGGGAAAGAGGGAGAAAGGGAGGGAAAGGGAAGGAAAGGGGGGGGGGGGACCCTTACCTTCCCCCAGGAATTCCTTGCCAAGAAAGCTTTTGACAGCGAGCACGTGTCGCTATCGGCATGGCAGCTGTTACGAATCGCCTTCTCGGTACGGACGATGGATCCGATCCGTCCTCGCATCGACCTCGTCCTCTCCGGAATTTCCAGTCCGGGAATCGGATTTCGAAGAGGACGAACTCGCTCCATCGTGTCGACGTCTCCTTCCGTGAAGGCGAAGAAACGGACGAACCTCTATTTTCTCCGGAAGAGACACCTGTCGATTCGGTGGCGATCTGGAACGGAGGGGAATCCGGTCTCCGTCCCTCCGCCCCTGTACCTCGGTCCCTGTACCCCAGTCCCCGTACCTCAGTCCCTGTACCTCGATCTCCGTCCCTCCGTTCCCGTACCTCAGTCCTCGTGTGGGAGTGGATTCCACTGGGGTTTCTCGATGTTAGAATTAATAGATCATTCAGCCTCGACCACGCATAAATGTTCGGAATCGCCCTCCGATACACGACGCCGTGACGACAGGAGACTGCTTCGTTTCTTTCTCGCTTCCTTTCCTCGCTGTGCCCTCCGATTTCGCCATTCGATTCACGACGGAACGCGTGTGCTTTCCGGGAATGCGAGACGGTGAAGACCTTTCCTTGGAGCCTTTCGCTCGTCCGTCTTCCGGTGGCCCCAAGATCGACACGAGGGAAACGGTTCCAAGGGGATCGGCATCGTGCGATCGCGTGTCGTCTCTCGCCGGGAGACGCGAAAGACGACGCAGCGGTCGCGGACGGCTTCTCTCTCGCGTTGCGATTCCGATCCCGATCCGATCCGCTTCCAGGAACGGCCGAGGTGCTCGAACCGGACTCGGGAGAAGCGGGAAAAGACTCGAAAGGTGGACGAAAGTCGGATCCGCATTTCTCCCGTCGGGATCGGATTCGCGTCCGGCCGGTTTCCTGCAGATCGGACGCCGTCGAAATCCCCGGACTCGGAAACGAGAAACGTCGTTCGACGAGGGCATCTCTGGAAGCCACGCGCTCAAACGACGGGGTCGGTTCCGAGAGGATCCCGTGAAAAATGAGCCCCGATATCTCGCTCGTTTTCCTCTCCCGAGAGAAGAAAAAAGAAAAAGGTGAGGTCGGACGGCGCCGCCCAGGGGGGGTTTCATACATCAATCGCACCCGATGCGAGAGAGAAATTCGAGAATAAATGGGGAAACCTATCCATCCGCAGGTATATACACGGGCCGGGGCTTTGTGTTTGGCCAACAAAAAGTCTCTCTTTTTTTCACCTCGATTAGTGGCACCCCGTGGGCTCGTTCCGCGGAAAAATGACCCTACCAAGGATAATTGGTTTGCTCCGCTTGTTTCCAGCCTTAGATTTGTCTTTGGTGGAATCGGCCCTGTAAGAATCGGCCCCGCAATTTCTGCCCCTCGAGTCCGCGTCTCGTTCCGGAATCCCCTCTCGTTTCTCGTTTCTCGTTTCTCGCTCTTCGAACGGATCGGCACCGAAGCGAACGGAAATCCGATTTATTTATTTATTTATTGTTATTTTATTTTTTTTCGACTCTCCTCATTTCGTCATTCTCTTATACCTCACCCCTTTTGATTTTATACTTATGTTCATGTGTTCAGTTTCGGTGTGTCCAATTCAGTTCTGTATGTTCTGAGTGTTCTGTCCAGTTCTGTGTGTCCTGTCCAGTTCTGTTTACTTTCTTACTTATTTTATTTTATTTATCTATTTCTGTTTATTCATTTATCTATTTTTCTCTTCACCTTCTGCCTCTTTATGAGAGTATGTATATTTGTAGTTTTCAGATATGACAAACTCAACGGACCAATTGGTCTTGCAAGAGTGATGGAATAAATATTATTATTATTACTTGAGGGAATGAAGTAAGTAAGAGAAGATTGCAATCAACAAGTCAGACAATCAAATTGTCAAAGGTCTGTTCAATATTAGTCATGCCACACATTGTTTGCCCATTCATGGAGATGATTAAATTGATGATAGCTCATTAAATTATGTGTTGGAAGTGCTCTTTCCATCTAATTGGCTAACACAAGTCCCCAGCCTGGTGGAATCCTTTCCTTCTGCATATTTTTTGAAGGAATCCATGGATGAACCATGTGATGACATGACTGAGGGGATTGTATGCCTGCTTCTTGTTTTCTTGAGTGAAAGCTAGAAAGCTGTAAAATGATGTTGGGATTGACTGATATTTATCTTCCAAATCCAATAAATATTTTGTCTCTTCTGATGTGACATGAAGGTGGAGATCTTTGGCTGTGTCCTTGCTGAGAAGTTCACTATGGCATATCTGGAAAACTAACCTGTTAGGCAGGCACTTGTGCAGACTAAACACCCCTCTCAAGTTTGCAGCTCTAATTGTATCCAAATGCTCAAATTCTCCATTTTGAGATGTAGCCAAATTGCATGAATTAGGTAGGTGACCATAGGCCAGATTTTCAGACTGTAGAGTTTGTTGGCAGTGAATAGAGTTTCTGGTAGCCCTTAATACTATTAAATGCATGAATGGTTCTGCAGCACAGCTGCTGGATATGCTAGGAGAAAGACTCCCCTTCCCACCTCCAGAACTCTGAATACACACTTTCCTTTGGAAGGGAATTCCCTGGTTCTGCCATCATGAATGAAGGGGTTACACTTTTCAAGGAAGATTGCTCCTAGAATATGATATTGGATCTTCAAAGGTGGCTTCTTGCTTTCAGAGCCATGGAACAGGTTACCCTAGTATATGGACACTGTTGTCATGACTGCAAATCTGACAAAATGTCTGTTACATAGGATGCCAATGGGAAGTTAGTCTTCAGGCAAAGTTTCTTAGTCAACTGACAGTAAAAGAAGGGGCAACCATAGTTTCCCAGCATGAATTCTCCTGTCCAACCTTTTGTATATGAAAGACAGAACAGAAAAAATCACTTTTAAAGCTGAACATGACAGACATTAGTCTTATTCCTGTCTCTCATTAGCTAAAACTGAGGAATTTTTTTTATAACTGGAGAAGGCAAGTGGACCAGTCCATCTGCATTGTCCATCTCCATTTCTTTCCTGGGAAAGTCTGATTTGTTGCCTCAAGTTCATGGGAAGAAAATCTGTTTTTAGCTATGCTCTCCAGGGTATAGATTGTCTAATCCCACAAACGATCTGATAGCATGAACCCTTAATGGAGTGCCATTTCTTATAACCTGTCAAAGTTCTGCCTTGTTTTTGTCTTAAAGCTGCTTTTTGGGAATTTGAAGGAGAGGAATAAGGAAGAAGTATGACATATGTGACAATTTGAATTTCTCTTTGTGTATTAAGGAGTGGTCCTTTCTGGTGCTAGATGAACTACAGGGTGGCCCATAAGTAAGTTTGCTAGATTAATGAACCAATGGTTAAAATCCTTTGAAATCTATGAGCCAATTCAGCAGTAAATATGTATGGCCATCAATAGGATCTAAAGAACAAAGAATAATGTTATGTGACATAAATAACAAACCTATAGGAAATTAGTGTAGTTGAAACAAGTCTATGATTTTCATCCCATTTTGTGTGACTTTTCCTGCTGAAGGAACAGACTAAAGCAACAATGCCTCATTCAATGTGATTAAATTGTCACTTATGTTCAACAAGAAGGAAAACATGCCCAAGGGTGAATGTGAAACTCACACTCCCCCCTTACCTACATCTTATGCACCTCTCTCTCATGCTTCTAGCTTGTTCTGTGGTTTCCTATTAGATAGGTCAATACAATAAATACCTATTAGCACCCAATATAATCACATCACCAATTGGTGAAGGTGAATTAGAGCATGAATGTCCCATGCATACATAGGCAAAAACTATCACATCTACAACATCACACAACTATCACTACCTTTATTAGCTGGTGGATGTTTTTCAAATTTAAACTTTGATCAGTTCTGCAACCAGTAAAAATACAAAAAGTTAGTATAAGTTCTGCCTCATTGCAAGGTATAGAAATAATACTTGGAATGTCAGCCTTCATTTTTTTTGCTTTTGTTTCAAGTGCCTAGGAGACCTATTTCCTGAGCGAGACCTGAATCAGCCATTGAGCCAGACTGTCGAACGGCTGTGGAACTGCATCAGCCTCATGCTCCGTACTCTGTCTCTGCTGAACCTTGCTTATCCTCTTGAAATTTATTCTTGGCTGGATTCTCATGGGAAACTGATCAGGAATACCCTCTCTCTTGAAAAGGTGCTCCATCATTTCTCCTGCTGAATCTCCCATTGTTATTTGTGCTCTCAATCAATGCAGACTGCTTTAGTCCTATATGGCTTCTAAAAGCATGAAGAGAAATGTTCATGATAAGAAGTCAAATAAATCTTTTTCAAAAACTGACTTGTAAGGAATAAATTATCTATACTTGTCAGTAGATAAACTTAATGCATTATATTTTTTGGGTTTCAACGTTTCTTCCTTTATATCTATTAGTTGCAAGGCAAACCCTGCTTCACAACATTGAAGACATATTCTCCCAAGGCAAAATCAAAAGAGGTGAATGTATCTTGTCCCCCACTAGTATATTACTGCTAATTTTGCATTATAAAATGTAATTATGGTTTCCCACATCAGGTTGTCCAGTGGAAGTATGGAGAGAGAAGAAAAGGGTATGCAGGAAAGAAGCCACTGTTGCCAAAGGCATGAACTTTTTTCCTCCCTTCCTTCAAGAAGAATACTCTTGTATATAACTTTAGCTTAATCTAAAGGAACACTTTGTCCCAATCAGAGAGTGGTACCAACAAGGTGCATGAGGCTTTCCAAGGGGTCAGGACACAGTCAGTGCCATGGTCAGCATCAAAGATTGAAACCAAGTCGAAAGAAGGAGAAGCAGGAAGGATCTCCAAAGACCTTGTCATCCTTGCCCCCATTTCAGCTGGACTCAATGGTCACATTTCATATGCAACATTTAATCAAGGAATTCATGAACTTCATTGAGTGGGTAGAACAGTGCCAATGCCTTGTTGACAAAACTGGAGTGAGTTTCAGTACATTTGCACATTTCTGAGGCTTTTGCATTTTTGAATGTATGAAAGGTATTTTGAAGGACAATTAGCTCCTGATGGGATCAATATCAAAAGAAAAGCCAGGGACTACACCTAATAAGAATGTGAAGTTGACTCCAAAAGAAATTACCTTTGAGGATTGAGCAATATTGAGGTGGAGAAATGAGCTCAAACAGAATTTACTGTTGTTGATGTAAGACTTAATTATGCCTATTTTCTTACCACATCCATTGTCTCTATCTCTCTTTGTCATCTTTGGTGGCATCTACTTCTGCAAGTCACTGGTTCAATCATGGAAAAAAGTGCCTAGGGTGAAATGAATAGATAATTGAGAGAGTAATTGAGAGAGGGAAGGAAGAATGAATGCATAAGGAAAAGATCAAGGGAAGTGCAGAAAAGCATGAGATGAAGTGATCAGGTGGTTTCTCAGCCAAGTATTGAAGTTTGATGGTCCTGACTGTATTTTATGAATGTAAGGAGGATTAGAGTTTGTCCATTTGAGAAATGTCCTTAGCAGCTTCATTTTGGTCACTCCTTGCTTATCTCCATTCATATCTTAGTCTTACAGTAGCCACCATGAGCTTTGAATTTAACACCTAAAGAGTGTAGCTGCCATGAGTGATGATGTGAGGTCACCCTACATTTATCTATCTATGCTTCACCTAAGTGAAAGCAGGAAGTGTGGTTTCACTCATTTTATAATCCCCTTGAATGAACTAAAAAATTTGATGGTGTAAAGAGTTGAGTGATGAAATTGGCACAAAGTCAATTCTGGTAATGAAATATAATAAGTCAGTCCAAAAACTTGAAATGGTAAAATGCAAGAACTATTTAAATTTAAATTTAAAGTTATGTCTTTTGTTCTGAAAGTTCTCAAAAGCTCCAACGTATCCATAGTTCTCTGGAAAATGTTGCCAGTGAAGTGTTTAACATGGAAAGAGTTATTGGTTAAAGCCTCAGTAAATGTTGAAGTGACAAAGAAAAAGTGTATGTGGGGGGTAATTCCCTTTTGTAGTGGTTACCTGAATGCTTCTCTGTGACAGAATACAATTATTCCCTCCTCCTTTCCATTGGAGAGTGACACTTGCAGATAAAATTTCACTCAATGGCTTGTTTTCCAGAAGAAGGACCCAGAGCAAGATGCACGTCTGGGGAAGGCTATTTCACAGCTTGCCACCACACTCTTCACTATACAGAGAACTATCCAAGATGAAAAATCCAGGCCTTCATCTCCTCTTACTGAGGTTGACACCTTTTCCCTTTCCCAGCAGATTCTATCTGTTCTGGAGTGGCATTCAACTTCTCTGTGATCATTTTCTATCACTACAAAAAGCTGATTTTTTATTTTTATAAATGCAGGTAATATGCAAGCATATACTCATATGGCTCCATCATGTGCTCTGTCATTATGTGATATAATTTTGCAGTCATCTTTTATTGCAAATAAGCCTGAAGATTATTGGCCATACTATCCTGCATATAGTACTGTACCAAACAACTGGTTAACCCAGGGTGAACTTGCATGCTGGAAAAGGTGAGGTTTGCTTGTGGGAGTGGTGGTTTTGCTGGAGAACAGGCTTCTTCTGGAAGATTAACAGAATGCAAAAATCACTTGCATAGTCACAGTCCCAATGAATAGTTTCCCCTTCTCTCTTTTTTCTGAAATGATTCAGGGTCCAGCCTATGGAGATGGAGACTGCCTGCTGTGCATAATAGTCCAAAATAAAATCCATATTGTGTTTTAAAAGCAAGAACTTCATATATATTTCATTATTCATATACCATCTTCACTCTCTCTGATATTGATATATTTGAATGCTGTGTGCACCTATAACTTGTTCATTCTTTGCATTTGCAACTGAACTGATTTTCTCTCAATTAGAATGACCATGCCAGTGTACCTCAATTTGAGCTGGAATACAATTTTATATCATGCATAGATATGTTGAAATATGCTAAATCTCAGGTATGTTGTGCTGCAATATGCACCATGATCTAGTATGTTACTACACGTCTTGCACATTTTCCCTTTCAAATCAGACCTGCTACTTGTCTGATGCTGTTTAGTGATGAATTAGATGTTTAGCAATGTTTAGCTAGACCAAGATACTATGCAAGAAAAGACTTGGTTTTGCATGCTAGTTTCCTGTCATGTGCATGGATAGGATTATTCAATGAACACATAATAGATTCACTTTCCCTTGGAATTTGGAATTTTCTTTGGATTGAAGGGCATTGAACTTGTCGAAACTTGATTCTATCCAGAATGTATCCCTGAAATTGTAAATTAGCAATAGGCCTGAGGCGTGAAATCAAGTATTTGTGCTATTTTTCCTTGCAGATGATCTCCTCTCAGGATTTTGAGATGCAGGACTCCTTAAGCTCTCAGAGTGATCTGCATAACACTCAAATTCGTATGCAAGAAATCACCAGTCGGTATGCTTAAATTTCTAATCCAAATATTTTCCTTTTCCTTTGCCAACTTCTTGCTTGCCTACATCATCATTTCTATAAAAGAGATGCAATTACATTCATACCTGTTTCTAAGGAAAGGCAGATATTTCACATAGGATTATCACTGAGATTCTGTCATAAGTTAAGGCTATCCATAAAATACCAATAAAGAAATGCAGCCTTCTTGAAGTTACAATAGGTTTACTTGTGAATGTCAGTGCTCATAAAACCAGAATTTTTTTTAGAATAATCAAATTTTATTTTCTACTTTTAAAAGCTAAAGTGGTAGAGCTATAATCAGCTTTACAATTGCCTTTCTTCTTCTTCCATGGTTTGGTTAGAGTCTATTTAGAAACATTGGTTGGCAATTGGCTTGCATTACATTAATACATTGGTTCAATATATTAAACTCATTTGATTTCATCTGAGACTTGATTGGAAACAGTTCTGCTGGGTTGATCTCTCTCCCATAGACACCCATTTAAAATTACAGTGGTACCTCACATAACGAACGCAATTCGTTCCAGTGGTGCGTTCGTTATGTGAGGTGTTCGCGAGTGAAAGTGAAACATTTTTTCCTAATTTCCTTGATTTTTCGCGGCAACGTGGAACGGATTACATGATTTCCCATAGACGTCTATGGGAAATCGTGTTTCGCATAACGAATGCACCGCTGGAACGAATTGCATTCGTTATGCGAGGTACCACTGTAAATGGATCCTAGACTTGCTGTCCTTCGTGTTAGGTAGGTTTGAGAAAAGGAATGTAGTGGTTTTTAACACATTGACTGCCATATGTAGAATACTGCAACAAAAAAAATCATGAAAAAATGTGAGAAAATTCATATTCATCTCTCTTAAGACTAAGCCTCGGAGTATGCCTTTTCAGAACAGCCCTGTTTTTTTTTTCTCGCTACATTGGTATAGAATAGACAAGGTGAACCAAAGGGACATTACATAGTAGGACAAGCTGAATCAGAGCTGAATGTGTCATGATCACACCCACCCTATATGACAATGTACTGGCAAACTTGAATCCACCTGTTAACTTGGATTGCCAATGTGGTTTTTAGCCTGAAAATTTATTATAATGAAGTGTTTTCCTTACTGTGCATACTTTCTCATTCTTCTTGTTCCTAGGAAGCCTGTATATAATTTTTTTTTATTACTTTAAATGGGTGGAATTGTGGCATTTTTTCTGGTTCCCTTCTATGCAAGCTAAGTAAATATCTAGCAATCCTGGTTGAGGAGGGGGGGCTTTACTGCAGGTAAGAGATTTCTCTTACAGGCAATGACAACTCTTTTATAGCTGAACTGTGGCCCCTTACGTGAGGTCATGAGCCACAAATCCAGCATGTTTCCCAATAGATTCTACAAGAACTTGTTTTTTATAGGTTTACACTTCTCCATGTGGTGTTCATTTGTAAACTTTGTTTCTGTATTCATGAACATTTCATTATAATGTTTCCAGATTGGATGAACTCCAAGCTGCTCTCCTGGGATTCCAGAGCTCTGATTCTTCCCCCTCCTCTCTGTAAGATCCATTCTCTATCCATACACAGTCCCTGGAAATGATGGTGTCTGTAGAGAAGACTGATGTACGAGGGACATTCAGAAAGTTCTGGGAATTTCTTTATAATTTCTGGGTAACTTCTTTATTCATCACCATTATACTGTGACTTTTCAACATAGTCCCCCGAGTTAGGCACACTTCCTCTAGTGTGGAATTAGTTTCCTTAGACCATCAGAAAAAATTTTCTGGAGTGTCTCAGATTCACCTGTTTAGTGCAGCTTTCATTGCATTGAGGGAATAAAAACACACTCCTTGCAGAGGCTTCTTCATCTTGCTGAAGAGGTGGTAGTCACTGGGAGCCAGATCTGGCAAGTAGGGTGGATGCAGTAGCTATTCCCACCTCAATTCTGCTATGGCTGCTCTAGTTAAGTGCATGGTGTGGGGCCTTGCATTGTCCTGCTGAAGAAGTGGCCATGAATGCAACTTCCCAGGGCGTTTTTCAATAAGAGCCTGTCAGAGTGGGGCAAAAAAAAAAAAAACAGATTTTAGACTAGTGTTCTGCATTCATTGTGGTACCATTTGGTAGGTAGTCAATCATTATTATCCCTTTACAATCCCAGGAAATCATAATCATAACCTTCCCCAAAGAGGGAACAGTTTGAGCCTTCAATGAAGGTCCTTCTTCAGATAGACACCACTCCTTAGATTGTGATTTGGTCTCTGGATTGAAGTAGGGAAGCCACATTTCATTTGCAGTGATGATATGGTCTAAAAAACTCCTCTTATTCTTGGCTAAGTTGAAATAGCTCTCGACACATTTCCATCCAATCAACCTATTGTTCAGGCAAGGCAGAAACCTTTGTCATACTGAGATGTTCTTGGAGAATCTCTTGAGCCTTTCCAGTGCTGACCACTAGGGTAGTAGCAAGCTCCCAAATGGTAACCTGTCAATCTTTCATTTGGAATATTTTCTGCAGCATGAATTTTTTCATCAGTGGTTGCTGTTCAAGGGCAACCGCTGCAAGGGTTGTCTTTTAAGGTCTGGCGACCATCCTTAAACCACTCCAGCCACCAGTAAACAGTACTCTTTGATTCTGCAGATACTCCAAAGACAGCCTGCAGCCTCTGTATGGTCTCAGAACCCTGTGCACCTTCTCTCCACAAAAAGAAAGCAATCACTCGCTGAGTTTTCATTGTGTCTTCCATGGTTTTGAGAAATACTACTGAACTGAGATGAATAACTGCTCAGGAGATTATTTGGGCAACAATACTGAATTCAATAATAAACACATTAAGCCTTTGTCCAAAACCTCTGATCAGAATAGGCTAAGCTTGATATCCTTTTGTACACTGATGTAATTCCCAGAACATTCTGAATGTCCCTCTTAAATAGAAAACTTCAATGATGTCATCTGAAATGGCATTTTATTCTGCATCTTTCTGAAATGTTTCAAAATTCTGGTTAATATTTTCCACTGTTGAACAGCTTCTAAACCCCTAGGGTATGACACCTAGTTTCTCTCTTCCATGAATGCTGTGCTTTGCAGTATTGGCCACTCAAATGTTCCTACCAGACAGATGTGGATTTTTTAAATAATGCTCAATGACCCAGAAATTTCCTGGATTGGAATGTTTTTGAATACATCAGAGCTATTTTGAAAGTCAAAGTGAAAACATTTATTTTGCAAGAACCTACAGAAGATCGATTTTCACCAGCAGTCATGGAGAATCGCACCATTGCTTTCCTTCAAAAGCTGACCAAAAAATTACCTCTTTCATTTACTGTTGATGTGATACTCTAAGTATTTAGAGGCTGTTTGATGATCTCTATGAGGAAACACAGAATTTAGATGCACTTTAGAAGGGTGTCAAATAAAATGTCCATTCCAATGATATTCAACTTTTCCTATTGTGCTGATCTTCTCTAGGGGGGAAGGGGGGGGGGGGTACTACAATTTTCAGGCATCTCATGCATATGAAATGTTCTCCCCTTCTTTCATCTCATGGAAATTATTATTGCTTGAACTTGTGTGAATAGGAGCAATATGGCCATGAGACCCTTCTCAATCCCATCCACTCCAGAGGAAGTGAATATTGAAGTTGAAGAAGTCTCTCTCTCCCCTGGGTATGCTCACTTGCTTATCTGAAGAAAAGCACATGATTCAGAGTGAAAAGATAAGACTAGATATTGTTAAATCATTAGGGCTCATTAAATCAAATCACTAATCCATATAATCCAATCAAATCACTAATCCAAATGTCCCATACCATTAGTAAGTAATCCCTATCATGAAATATCCTTCCAAAACATAGCTGAAAAATTTAGACTAATAAGATTCTATATATATATCAAGAGAAATTGCAACAAACTGATGTGAAATTTTGGCAGCATAAATAAAATGTGCACAGTTAGTTTATAACATCTGTAAATTAATTCAGTTGAAAAATGGTACATGAAAAATGAAGAAGTTATCCAGCATTCTGGTTTCAGTTGATGAAAACCTATCGTCCAAAGCCATGCAGAACACAAATTAATTTCTTGAATTTTCAATGGGGAAATAGCCATATTAGACAAGCATTTCATATAAGTGTGGTACATTGCATAAGCATAACATTAGTTATTATTCAGCAATATTCATGGTTGAAAACTCGATAATCCATGTACATATGTAAGAAATGATAATTTAAAACTGAGAATGAGGAAAAGTCTATTATGGTTATGTGAGAGATATATGTAATGTTCAGCTTATTGATTCAATCTGGTTTAAAAAAACTTTTATGAAGAAAATTTAATTTTACTGATAAATAAGTGTTACAGCAGATGTCTCAATCGGCTTTTAGAAATACTGCCGGGGCACAATGCTCATAAATATGTGCACCTCCAGTTGAGTAAAAGATCTGACTCAAATGTAAACATTTAGATCTAAGCCAACTTCTTTGCTTAAACCATTAGTTTGGCATGAAAGATTCCTCAGCCTACTTGTTTGATTTTCTGATAGTCTCCTTTTAGAGGTAAAGGTAGGAACTATATATGATAATAGGTATTTAAAAATACATACCTTTTTTGTTATCAGAGATGTTTTACTGCTAAATTTACATAATTAGTTTAGCAGAAGGTCTGTAGATGCCATCCCATGGTGTCTTTCAGGTTAGGTGAGACATTGAATGAGGAAGAAAAGGAAGTGAAGCAAAAGACAATAGCACGATTTTGGGAGAACCTGATGAAGATTATCTCAAGAGAGACACAAATTGTCCCCAGCCCAGAGCTACAATGATAAGGACTTGAGGAATGCTCAACACTCACCACCAAATGGCTTGTCACCACACCCTATCTTATTTATCTGTGATATTTGCCTATTTTTCTTCCCCTTATTTTTCTGATGAGTTATTTGATGAAGCATGTTACTCTTTCACGATCCATGCTCATATCTGTGACATCCTTGTCCTTCATTGCATAAAATATTCTCTTTTCTGCAAGGTCATGTGTCATATATCATTGATAGGCTGACTCTATGAATCTTCATTACCATATGTCCAGACAAAACTCAACATCCATTCATTTTCAGTTATGGCTGTTAACATTTAATTTAAAAAAAAGAGGACAATTATAAAAGGAGGGAAGTCCCCAGACAAAGTCAAGCTGAATTGAGCTCATTTCACCTCTATGCCTGTTTTCAATGGCCCAAAATGAAATTCCAAAATATGTATGTTTGCAAGCAAAGCACTGCAGGAAGCATCAATAAGCAATTTCCAGATTGTTATATCCAACGTGAGTTCAAGAAAATTTCAATTAAATATTGATACATGGTTCACCCTATAAATAATTTCACTTCGCCAAAAAATGACTATTAAGAGATTTTAACCAATCAAACTTCAGGGATCTATTTTTGGACATGTAAGCTATTTATAGACAGAATTCCAACGTTTTCCTGTTTTTAAGTTCAGTTCTGTGCGTCAACCAAAATTGTGTCATTCTGTCATCAGACACGCAATGGAATACGACAAAACTACTCTTCGATTCTTGATTGAAACATGCAGAAGGAATTCTTTTTCTGCAATACAGACTTATGAGCTTATCATCACTGCATGGCTACATGCTGTCACACTTCGCTGAGATTCATTCTGAGTTGAATTCTGGCATCGAGAAGAAGGAAGATGGAAGAGGACGACCGCGAACGTCACGCACCGAGGAGAACATCACAAAAGTCCACGAATGCATTACTGAGGATCCATGTTGCTCATTGGAGTCCATCGAGATGGAAACTGATGGCATACCAGCTACAAGGTACAAGGTAGCTAGTATGTCAGATATCTTTCGCCACTCGAGCATCATTACCAAAACTGAATGATGCCATTCTATGAGAAGTCCATTCCCCATAACATATTAGAGCCAGTCTGTAATGTCGTGCACCGGTTGGAAATAGTTGTGGAATTTGGTGGAGGGCATATTGAGCATTTCTTGCCCTGAATACATGACGTGACCCCAGGAGCCCCCCACGAAGCTTGTGTTTCTGTTTTGCATAACTTTCTACTCGTGGTGTACCGATACTTCTCTCAAAGTTTAACTGGACTGTGAGTGTCTCAAGTAATTCGCCAAAAAAGTAAAGGCAATTTATGAAATGAAACTAGAAGCGCGAAAGACAAAATATTTCATTTGACTGAGAATGAAAAATTATTGCCCGTTGTGCTACACTCAAGGTGTCACCTATTATATAATAGGTGGACATCTTGAGTCAACCCACCTATTATTATAAGTCGGCAACTGCCCAAATACGAAAAGTGAAGTTTGAAACGACCTTATTTAACCCTGTAATTACCAGAAACTGGATGATCATATGCTTAACTCTGTTTCATCTATTCATTCCCAAGGAATCACTTCAAAATATTTTGCATAATTGCCCAGAACGGTAGTTACAGGGTTAATGTACCTGCGGTCAAGATCTTACCAGACCTTAGCCCTTAAGATTTGTTTTGACAAATTTTCCTATGGTGTCTAGATTAGTCCAAGGAACTGAATACTCCAGCACAACTCCTCCGCTTTGTCGTAGCTGCCTTGGAGATCGTCACCATGAACTCTCAATGAGATTGTTACAAACTTCACTTCATATTCGACTGTTGCGGTAGCCGAAATGAATGGTGAACGCATCAGGCACTGGACACAGCGCAGATAAAG